TTTTTTATTCCTATTATACGTCTAGTATATGTATTTGATGTTTGTTTGCTTTCCCTAGGCATTTGGATTTCTTTGAGATGGTTCGAAATGAGGATGAGAGGGAACTATCCAAGAGGTTTGATACAGTAAGTACATTTGTTTTATTTATTGGCTTTGTGTGCCTTAGAATGTTTAGGATGAACACAAAAACTTGTATACCATATTTCGGGTCTATGTTGTATTTCAGTGTAGTTGTGTATTAAACAACCCTAGACAAAAACTTATTTTTTTTCCTGAAACTTATGATAAAGACATACAGCTTATTGTTGTTTATTTAGGTCAAAATTAACAAAGAAATTGTCGAAAATTAAACGAAAATGTTGGTTTTCAATATTTTATTGAGAAAATAGTGTTGATATAGTGTGCGTGTTAGATTAACTTTCATAAATTTGAAAACATATGTAGGTGCACTTAATGTTTTTTTTTTTTTTCGTTTGATAGGTTCATATAGATACAAGAAGTGCAACTAGTATGTTTGAATTACTTCGGAAGAAACTTGCACATACCGCTGCCTATCCACACCTATTGTCCTTATTAGAGCACTTTCTTCTGTTACCGAGTAAGTATACCAGTTTAATTGGCATGTTGCACCATGCGATTAAGTCAATAGTACGAATGACTTACGGTTCCATTATAGGAAATACTGGTTGCGGGGCTGTGTTGATTGATTGTTTTGATTCCTGCTGTAATTATCATTCAGTAAGGACAGAAGCTGAAATGAACACCACAGGAACGTCTGCGTGATAGATAAAAATTCGAAAAATAAATCACAGCGATTTCCTCAATGAAGAGGTCAATGAACTTCAAGTATGAATTTATATCATGTTTGGATGAATTTAATGAATCTCTTTTTTCACACCTGTCAGTTTAATCAACGTTATTTATTTGTCTCTTTTGAAGGAAATTCCAGCAGTGCGCATTATTGGATGCTGATTGACCGACTTGTCCAGCAAGTCGTATTACAGTACGAGAATGGTGAAGATCCAGACGTTGCACCGTTGGAATTGAACACGAACCAGTTGATGGAACGAATGGCCAATGAGGATGAGGTATTGAAAAAACAAAGTGAAGAATTCGAAAAGGGTCAGTTAATAAAAAAAAATTGTTAATTTCATGTGCCAAGAGAAAATTTCCAGTTCAGTAAATGAAAAACTTTTGTCATCAAACTTCATATACCCACGATGTAAAAGTGTTTAAGTAACCTATTATCCAAATTTTTATAAAATCTGTAAGCAATCATACATGTATTATACATGCTATAAAGCTTACCAGTTTACTGTAGATATCTTGATTTTTATACTGAACTTATTTTTACTGAAAACCTCAAATTTAAGTTGACTCACTGATTTATCAAAAAATAAAATTACATGCAAAACTAAAAAATAGGAAAAATAATAATAATTTCATGTCAACTCTAGCAGTGAAATACTGTCAAAAAATCAAAACATGTATGGTGATCTCGTGTCAGGTAATCATGACAGCCAGAACAAATTCGTTTCTAGTGACCGTCTGGCAATGTGAAGGATTTTAAAAACAACAACAACACATATTCAGTACATCAGACCATTCAATTCATGATTTCATCACTTATTCATATTTCTTTTATTAGAAAAATAAAATAATAACTTACCCACTTACCTTTATATTCTGTTTCTTTGTTT